AATGGAAACACCAATGATGAGAGAGATTGGCTGTTTCCTGCACACGCCCTACTGCAACCTGGGCATGTACCCTGACCCAGAATCAACTGTGACCTCCTGGTTCATAGGCAGATGCTCAACCACTGAGCCACGCTGGTCAGACTGAGCTGGTTTTTAAATACTTAACATTTGACTGGAAAATTGTAGGGTACCACGACCAAGTAATCAGAAGAGAGACTGCTTTAGCATTAACCAGCTCAGTCGACACAGGAAGAATGACCTTAACTTTCTAGTAAGGTTATGCGCCTATATCCTTCCATGAGAACTATGGCTTAACAAATAATGTAACCCAGCTATACACTTTTATATTTTGAAATTTCAAGGGGAAAACTTGTCTGAAAGTCTGCATTTATAATTTCTTACCATATTACACAATCCTAAGAAACATTAATTCTACCCCTTATTTTAGTCACTGCTTTAGCTAAATCTGGCTGTCACTTATTTTTTTTTTTTATATCCACAAGGTGAATATAAATAGCATCGATCTAAGTAGAGTAGCAGAAATAACATAAAATGACCCTGAGAAATTGTCTTATATTAAAGTCCTGATAGCTTCTCACAAACTGACTTATTCAGATATAGCTAATAGAAAGGTTATATTCCAAAGGAATAATTGATCACTTTTAAATACTTGTTTGACCTTTACCTGAGGCTATGTATCATCCTTATAATGGGCAAAATCAATAGATTACACTTAAATGTAACATTCTTTTTTAAAATCTTTATTGTTGAAAGTATTACATATGGCCCCTTTTTTCTCTCACTGACCTCTTATTGCCCACTCCTGACCCCCACCCCAGGCCTTCACCACCCTATTGTCTATGTCCATGTGTTATGCATGTATGTATACAAGATCTTTGGTTGATCTCTTCACACCCACCCACCTATCCCCACCTTCCCTCTGAGACTTGACAGTCTATTCCATGCGTCTATGTCACTGGATCTATTTTGTTTCTTCTGTATCTTTAATAATACAATATTTCTACTATATTGTTATTGAACTTTTCATGGATTACTCCATTAACTGCTTCTTCCTTAATAAAGAGAGATCTATCTAGTCTTTTTTCAGAATTAAGATTATCTAGTCTCAGGACTGGGAAACAGTCAAATGGTACAGATTCCCTTTCAAGGGTATTTTTCTTGATGCTGTCAGATCTGTAGCTTGAAGGCAGGGGGTGATATAGGTATGGTTTCTGGTCAAGTAGGAATTTGCTAAGGGCAAGTGTTTTCCTCAGGGTGTGTACTTAAATTCCAATCCTTTATCTCACAGACTCACAGGACTGGGCTGAAATTGGGGTGGTGGTGAAAGGGCCTCTTTAAAAATAAAGTTATGTATGGAGAGCAGAAATGGGGGACATAATTATGACTGTTGTTCTTAAGCCATTTCATACTTACATACAATGAAACTTCTATTTTAACTTAGATTTATTACTGGAAAAAACCGTATGTAATTACATTGTGCTAACTGCTATTAAGGCCAGGCTAGCTGCTGTGAGTACATAAGAGCTGCCCTCCAGGAACTTACACATAAGGGAAGGACCCAAGAACATAATTTATAAAGATTGGTTGTGCCTCCAAGAAGAAATAGCCATTTCATTACAAAAGTCATGTTGGCTTAGAAAAAAACTGAAGAACTTGACAGTGGAAAAGGAACTATAAATAAAATATTTAGGAATATTTTATACTAAAAATGTATATTATGAAATCTATATAAAATTTAGAAGCATAAGAGACCATTTCAATAGGTCTTAAGTAAATATTTGAGAGTAATATCTAAACTTGCATGGTGGTCATCGAGATGGAAAGGAAATGACCTATGTAAGAGAGTTGGGAAATATAGAAATGACCACTCTTCTACTAGAAGTGGTCCTGGATAAACAAATATGCTCTTGCTAATGCAGAACTGGGGGAAAACTTATAAACGATAAGCTAGAGATTTACAATCTTTTTAGACTCCTGTAGGAGGTATAATACTTAAAATAGAAACTTTATTTACATCTCAGATATTTATAGCACCATTCAAATATATGAAGACAAATGTATTAATTGACAGTGTTGCTTCAATATTTAGCACTCAAATTAGTTCATTTGTTCATTAGATATTAGTGATGTATAACAGCACATTAGATAATGTACCATCACAATTTTTAATAATGTATCTGGCTCTGTGGAATTGTGGAAATTATACATCTAAAACAGGGGTCCTCAAACTTTTTAAACAGGGGGCCAGTTCACTGTCCCTCAGACCGTTGGAGGGCTGGATTATAGTTTAAAAAAAAACTATGAATAAATTCCTATGCACACTGCACATATCTTATTTTGAAGTAAAAAAACAAAATGGGAACAAATACAATATTTGTATTTGCATGTGGCCCGTGGGCCGTAGTTTGAGGACCCCTGATCTAAAAGAACAGTGATGGTAAGCCAATTCAAATCAGAACAATGAGATGGCATTATGATTTGTGAGTATTCGATATATAAAATAATCAAGCACAACATGTATAAAGTTTTGAGTATGGCAGTCAATTAAATCAACCCATATTGAAAAACTTTTGGCTAGGGTGAGTAAATTTCATCATCCACTGAAATGTGACTTCATCAGATAAGCAAGTCTTTAAGAAAGTTATAACCACTGAAAATTCTAAAGTAGAATATCAAAGTGTCACATTTACTTAGATGTCTTAACTTCCTTTCACTGTAAGATTGTAAATATTTCTATTGCAGAAAACAATTTGATCATAGTAATCAAAACATTAAGAAAAAAATGTATCACATAATTTATAAACATTTTGCTGTGAAAAATAATTTTTCCTCAGTTCCAAGTTGAAGAATTTTACTATATTAGATAATAGACGTCACTAAGATTGGGTAGACTTTGGGCATTAACTTTAATATGTCAGAAGAGTAATTTGAAGATATTTGTAGAAACTAATTATCTCCTAGTTTGTATTCTCCCTGTTCTCTCTTTAGTAATAGAACCCCATATTTTTATTTGGGTAGATGCCTAACTGATAGGGGTGGATTATATTCCATATTCTACTGAAAATAGGCAAAACGAGTCACTAAGATGTGGACCATGGTGCAGATAGAAGTGATGTATGCACCTGAACATGCCCTTAAAGGCAAAGAGCATGCCCTCCATTGCCATTTGTCTCCTTCCAGTTATCTAGAATGCAAAAATCATTGTGAATGCTGAAGCATCATGCTTGGTCCACAACATGAAGAAGTATATTGAGGAGAGCAGAAAACATGAGAAGGACCCTGAGCCTTGGATGATTGAGTTACCATGTTAGGCCTTGTACACAGAATGGTACATGAAAGAAGAATAAACTTTTGTCTTGTTTTCACCACTATTACTTTAGGTTTCTCCGTAACAGCCAAACCCAGAGGCTAGTCATAAAATATGGCTCATTTTTATTCAATGTTTAAGGGTTTACAAGACCAATATTAAAGTCCTTTGAACATCTCCATAAAAAGTTTTAATGAAGTATGAAACAATCTTATAGTTCTTTATAAATTCTCAAAAATTTTACATGAAGCAGCCTAATTCCAGCAAACTTACCTATTTTAGCAGGATTCTAAGACTACGCAGAACTGGAAATAATTTATGGATCACCTAGTCAGCTGTAGAATGTGGGGAAACAGTTTGAATTTAAATAGTTTTAATGCCCTGTGGGAGACTACAATTATAGGGCTGGATGGGGCATAAAAGTCTCTGATTCCTTTGTAATGCTCTTTCCACTACACAACACTCTTAACCACTTATTCTGAAACAGTCATTTATATACATAAATAAATGAAAAATAATTTCTCTAAGTGATAACCATCACTTTTAAGTTTTAAATTTAAAAGTTGATATCAAATATAGTTGATATCAATTCCTATTAAGAGCTTTTTATTTAATTTGCTATAGCTCAACTCATGGCCTAAAAAAGAGAACGTATCCTGGTTCTAGGAATAATTATAACCCACAGTAATACTAGAGACATTTTTGCATGGGAAAAGTCAAAAGGAAGAGAAATTCAATAGGTTCACTTATAATAACTATATATATAAAAAAATATATAATATATTTTTTATTCAGATAAAAAAGTCTGAGAACAAACAATAATTATAGTATACTTATTTAATCTTTTTTAAAATACACTCCAATCTCTTAGGAGAATACCTAAATTATAGGAGGCCCTCAAAAAACATTGGATAAAAAATAAGTGTATATAAATATTTTTTCTGATAACAAAAATCAACTACAATAGAATTTAAGACTTATGTGTAAATTTTGGTATATAATTTTATAAATGTTTATACCATATCTAAATAATGAAAATGTGTCCCTAATCTGTTCCAGTGTGTCCCTAATCTGTCCTGATCTGTTCATTATTATAAGTAACTTATTTGAGCTAAAATAATCATGTTCTGAAGTCATTTGAACATGTACTTTAGAGATATTTATTTAAAAGGCATATTAAGCACATAATATGCTTCCAAGATTGAACAGGCAGGCTAGTGGTTGCTCAGCTTCCAGAGTGTCATTAACACTATAGCTGAAGTAAATGGCTTTTCCTGGTGTATGCGGTTAAGGCCAGAGCAGACATGCCTAGTGACGGTGGTGACAGGAGCCAGGATATAGAGACGGGTGGGATCCAATCTCTGTCAACAATGCTAATGGAGTATAGAGCATTTAAGTCAGTGCAGTGAACCGAGGTCTGAACAGGGTACAGTGTGAGTTCAGACCAGAGAAACATGGCATTTCTTCTTAGGAAGATACCAACAATAAGTTGTTAAAGATCCCATAAGCACTAAAATTCATCATTACCTTGTTATGTCTAATTGGCATTTTTCTTCTGCTATGGAGCATTTTCTGAAATACTAAACCTGCCAAGTCAACTTGTTCTAAAAACTCAGTCATCCCAGTATAACTAAGTTCACCTTGGAATTTAATGTAAAATGTTAATACTCACATCCAGATCGTCCTTTGCATTGTAGTAGACAACTTCATTACTCTATAAAAAATATAAAAATGAATGCTTTATTATTTTGAGTAAAAACAAAAATATACAGGATGAAACACTAAATACATTTGATTTATACTTTAATTATTAAACCCCTCATAATATTCCTTTCAGAATATATTCCACAAAGATCCATAAAGATTAGCCAATATTTTCTAAGAACATATTAAAACACTATATCAGTGAGATTGGAAAAGCACATTTTGCATTGAGGAGAAAATATCTCAGCGTAAGTCTGAGAACAATTTGTCAAGAAAAAATAAAAATTTAATAATGCAGATAAATATCACACACACACACACACACAGCATAAACCATAAATGATAAGATAATTCAAGAAAGATGTAATATGAGTTGCTTAATTGTTTGCTAAAACTATGACTTTAAAAAATACATATTTATTTAACACACTAATATTCTCCATTTCTACCAAAGTGGTGAATAAGTGTGTTGGCTCTTCAAGAATAAATTTTGTCTTATAATTTTGGACATTTCTTTGAGTCTTTGAGGCTAGAACCATGCAATTTAAAAATAATCCATTTCTATTTCCTTTCCTCTCCTGAAGTGATCGAAAATACAGTCCATTTTCTGTTTGTCTCCAGTAGTAAAATGAGTACTATGTAAAAATTGCTTTTTTCTGTACCACTTAAGTAATTACAAATATGGATACTAGAAAATTTCATGAAAAGAAAACACAATGTACAAAAAATATTTGAAGGAAATTACTTGGAAAAAATAGACTAGATTAATATTTCTTAAAATATGCCCTCCTCCAAAAAAATTCTAGCTCTTCAAGCCATAATAAATGTTACATAGGCAAAAGTATTCTAT